GTCCGTTGCGGCGGGTGGCGACAGATGGCGACTCCGCTGGGGAAGCCTCGAGAGTCAGTCCCATTTAGTGATGGATTATTTCTAAAATAATGGTTTAAAATTACTTCATTACCCCTTGCTCGTATGATAACGTGTTTTACCTAGTTGGCTTCAATAATTGTTGAATGTTTAAATTTTTGCACAATTAATTCCTGATAAATAAGCAAAAACAAAATGGATTTTCATATTAATCTAGAGCTACTCAATAATATTTCTAATAAAAAGTTGAAGTCCACATTTCAATGCTTAAATTTGATATGACATACAGTAGTGACATTGATTATTTCTTCAATAATTAGTGGAACTATTTCACGAAGTTCTGCAATATTTTTGTATGATAAGATAAGTGCGTTAATATCATTTCCACCGATTTCTCCGACGAGAAACAATGAACTTCTAAAGTAGTTATCACACTCTGTCATAGAATAGAATAAAATTTGTAAGCCATATTGGAAAAATAATCATGTATATAGTAGAAACATTACTAAAGGAACTTTGGTAAAACCTTGTTTATTTTTGCAAAGGGAAGGTTTTAGCTTCTTAAACCAATCAAGTTGAACACTTAATGAAATATTCGTCAATGGTGGAATGAGTTTTTTTTGTATGAAATAATCCATATTAAGTGCAGTTGCACCCGCAAATGCAAAATTTACTCCTTGCCTAATGTCTTGGCCTTTGGTGAGATTAAGATATGCTGGCAACATTGGCAAGCCATATGCCTCGGCTGCAATTGAAACAACCATAAGTTAGTATTTTCTTGAATTAGCAACACATTGTTTATGTTCCCTTCCTATCAAGGAAATTCTATTAAGCTATCTAAAACACCAATGACATATACCTATAAAATCTATGATTAATCGTCCATTCGACATACGTCCAGACGGATGTTTGAAGTATGTTGATCCATACGGGCTATCGCCATCCATAGGTGGGTAGTAAGTAGCATCATTTCCGGTGTCACTTATAGAATCACCAAAATTGAATATAGCTTCATACGGGAGAGGATTGACATTTGAAATAACATTTTCTAGAAAACCACATGTAAAGGTGATGTAAAAGATAATGATCATTTTCATGATGTTAGAGTAAGCTAATAAAGGTGTAAAGGAAATTTGTGTGTTAATGGGCACAAGAATATCAATTGGAATTGAGTATTATATATTGTCACATAAACAACTATTTCATCGTGCAATGTTGCTGTCATTTTAATTTGACACTGTTTAACTATTTTGTTTCTTAAAATAAAGAGTTGCAAGTTGTATTCTCATGCATTTAACTAACACATATACATCCTTAATATATGTTTTTTACTTTTTAACATTACTTGTGTTGTTATTTTAGTCATTCTATGACAATATGTTGCTTCCCTTTGACTTTTCATAACAGGATTGATTAACAACAATTAAAGGTCATAGCGATTTTCGTATATGGATGGACAAAAGTGTCTTTATTCATTAAAAAATTATTTGCATCATCATTATAACTTTGTTATGGATCAAAGATTAGTTGCACTACATTACTCAACTTAAAATTAGGGATAATTTTTTTTCTTCAAATTTGACTCCCAAAGAAGGATACATAAATTTAACAACTCAATAGATATAATATATGTTGGAAAATAATTATATATTCTTTTATTTTTAAAAGGAATGCTTAATTTAGAACCTTTACAAAGTTATATTAATCATACTAAATTAGTCTTCTTTGACATTTAATTTGTGTCAAATTTAAATCTTTTCTATTTTTTTTATCATAATCTTGAACTATTTCTATTAACAAAAGCCATAAAGTTGGTTAACTCTTTCTTTCCTAAATTTTGTAAGAGGGAGTTAAACACATAT